GGATTGAAGAGCCCCCAGCAGAATTGGCCCCAATAGACGAAGGGGTTGTGGGTGACCAGGATTCAGCGATGCCCGGGAAAGAACCTGAGGTTGTCGCGGTACCGAGCTCACAACAACCGATCGTTGATCCAGTAGCACCACCTCCCAGACCTCCAGGTGTATATCGTGAATGCGATAATATGCTTGATCCTCCCGGAAAGAAGGGGCGACGAAGAAGGTCGATTGTCGTCACGATAAGACTTGATGCGCTCAAGGACCCGTCTTGGCTTGAACGTATGCGGAATAGACGACCGACAGGACCGGCGCCGACTTCCTCGCACCAGACAGAATCCATTCCCGCCGCGGACTCGGCTCCAGGTACCGCTCAAAATATGACTGCAGATGATTCCACGAATGCGGTAATGTCGGGGACAACGCAGACCACGCAGAAACCAGGAAACCGTCGCACTAAGGCCTCATACAAATGTGACAAATGCGGCAACACCTGGAAGAATTCTAATGGGTTGGAATATCACCTTAATAAATCACAGACTCCTTGCAACCCATCATACGTCCCGGCCCCTCCTCCTCCACCTAAACCTTCCAAGCAAACTCCCATGCCGAGGGTCAAGTCATCAAGGATATCCAAGAATCAGACTCTTAGCCCGTCACATCTGTCGGGTGCGCCTCGAAAATCGTCTAAGCACACCATTGACGGTGCAGACCGTCCTCGCCTCCCACCTTCCAAGCGTATTCGCCTTAGCGAGGCCCCTGTTCACAGCCAAGATACCGATGAATCACCCAGGCCTGGTTCTATTCGTGGCTCTATCATTTTGCAGGATGTTGAAGCCTACGACGTTGTCGATCATCGAAGACGACGACGAAACGCTCGCCAGGTTGCCTCGCCTAGCTTCCATGGTCCCGCCTCCCAAGCATCCCGGGCGCGTCGGGAGTTCTCGCAAGTGGGAGGTCCGATCACGGCACCAGTGTCGCCTGCCACAAACTTGCCTACGCCTCCGCCGAGATCTACAACTGGTGTCGACCATTCTGTCTCCGAACTGGCCCTTCATTCGACCGCTGTTAACCACCCTGTCCTCAATACCGCGGAAACCAGGGGAGGGACTGAAGCAGAGAACAGCCAGGCGAGGACCAGCGATTCTGTGCAGCCAGGCCAAGAATCGACTTCCAAGCAGTCACGCAAGTCATCCAAGGTATTCAGTGTCGGCACGCTGCGCAGAGAACGTGCGTCTCTGATAATCCAGCAATTGCTTGACGAGAATGACTTCGTATTCCCTGGACAGCGGTCTGTCTACTTGGCTATGGTGTCAGCCTGGTCCAAGAAATACAGCGACATAGAGCCTCCTGACTGCAAGGTGGTCCAAAATGTGATGAATCGAATGGAAAAGGCCGGGCTTTTGGTGCAGCTACATTTTGTCTTCGTTGACGGCCATGGCCAGCTCCAAGAATGTTGCGTGCTTGCGAAGCCCCAACCAGGAATGTCGGATTATACGGTCTTAGCTGGCAGTCCCAAGGTGATCAGTGTCAAGGATAAGATGAGAGAGATGTTCCCGGAGCCATACATCCCGGAGAAATTTTCATTGCCCCAAGAAGACAGTGAACTCTTTGGCGCGGTTTCCTCGCAGCACAAAGATGCACCGAAGCCTAACGAGACTCCTAAAACTTCCCGGATATCGGCCGTGACTGATAATATCGAAGTACTGCAGTATTCGGAATTGGCAACCGGCTCGAAAAGACACATGGAAGAGGGCGAGTCGACGGAGGCACCACCAGCTAAGAAGCCTTGTTATGATTCCCGCAACATTGACCAGCCTCGCAAACCCCCCCGTCCGCGGAGACGAATCGAAAACCGCGAATATTGGGACACGGGGAAAGTTGCAAAGTACATATGGAACCAGAAGAAACATCCAGGCCAAAAGTGGGATCAGAAACCGGCCCGCCTCCAAGACTTCACAACTGGCGCGTGGTCGGTCTCGCCTCAAGAAAGCGCTTCTTCGCAGCCTGACTGCGTCACGGTTCTGTCTTCGCTTCGAATCCTCCGCAAGACCTTGTTAGGCCCAATGCGGAGCCGTTACAATGACAAGTCAAAGGATTTGGGTGAGGCTTCGGAGGAGAACGACGCCGACTTGTCCCAAGCCGATGACATTGAAGAGGTTCACGGTGGAGGAACTCTCGATACTACCGCAAACAGAAGTAGGGGTTTCATAGTGGACAGATTTGACAGGCCATCGTTTTCCACATCGTTTCTGCCCGAGGATACAGGATCCGAAGAACTGAACAGCACGGTCGCTATTCCGCCACGCTTGAGCACTTCAGACGATGATCCAAATACCCGTCCTGATGGAGCCGGCATAAGCTTCGTGAGGAGCGAAACAATTCAGTGCTTGCAGTTAGGCACCTGGCCTTGGCTACCATTCAGCTATTTTGAGTCAGACTCGAGCTTCGCGATGGCCGGAGCCATGCCTGACCCGAAATGGTTCCAGCGTGAGAATCTGCCGCAGAATGCCCAGGAAGTCATCAGCACCACCTCTCGAGGAAGATTATCATTCAACTCCTGGACAGACCCTGTGTACGGGAAATTCTTGACTGAAGTGGACATTATCGAGAAATGGGAACAATCACCCGAGGGATCCCAGATTCTCACGCTTGGGTCGGTCGCGCCGGATTTCATATTCATGTCCCTGTCCCCCGATATTACAATAGAGGGCTGGAAGCCAGTAACGCTCGAATGGACAAGTGTGAATCAATTCTCGTTGGAGAATCTGCCGAACGAGATAAAGAACGCATCCGCGGACGACGATAATATCGGCATACCAATCGTGGTTATTCGTAGGGGTCGACCAAGGACCAGACCATATCCGGAACCATCGTCTGGGTCGCCACGGCCCAAAACAAGCCCGAAAAAGCCTGCAAACGACGCCCAGGTAATTACGCTACCAGATACGGAGACTCAATATAAGACGCGAATGCTCAAGCCGATACATGTACAGAAACGAGGCCGTTTGAACAAACTCCATCCGAATGAATCGGTTCCGAGTAGCGAGACAGAGCTCATAGTCGCATACGTGGTCGTCAGAACCCTGTTGGGCGGCGTGGATGGAAAGGTAGACCTGGGCTTGATCCTGACTATCTACCCTAAACTCTCTGTCTCGGGTCTGAGAAAATTCTGGCCCAAGGTTAGTAAGGAACGAAAGACTTACATTGACACCTTAACGAAGAAGTTTCAGTTAGCATTCCTGGAGGAGTATGAGGCGGGTAACATCGATCCTCTCAACTATGACGACCTCGACTCGTATGATTGGCACAAGCTAATTCATTGGGCAACCAAACTCGAAACTCACGAGAATGTGGACCTCCCCGATTCCCGCGATGATCTGGATGAGGCCTATTCACTCGAGGGTATTGCCAACGAGCCTCCAGATTGGAGGGAGGCCTGGTTTCAGCCTGCTGCCTCCATGTTTGCACGAATTGAGGGAACCTCCAGCGAGGCCATCTCGACTCCTTTGGGTTCTAACGTCTCAGCTGACGAAGAGATGGTAAATAGCGCCCGGTCGTGGGTTCGTTCCTTGTGCGTTACCCAAATAAGGGGTGCCGGTATGCCAGGACAAGTTCGCGCGAAGCTTCTCGCGTTGAGCGGCGGCAACGAGGACGAGGCAAATAATCTACTCAAGGGGGTAGTTGATCGCCTCACATTGGAGAGGGTAGCGGCAAAAAGCAAGGGAAAGATATTTGGCCAGGCTCTGAGGCTTCACGGCGTCTTTGCAAAACAGCTGGCGAAGTCGGCAGCGGTGGAAAAGGTTGCGCAGGCGGTCGAGTTTAAAGGTCTGCTAGACGAGACTTTTCGAAAAGGCGAGGGATTCGTGCTACCCTATGCTGCTAATGACGGCATCATCATGGCTGTTATTAATCTCCAGGCTCATGGTCGCATCCGAATGGAACCAATCGATCCACCTAACATTCCTTTCGGATTCGAACCTGGCAATTATGACGGCAGAACATTCCCGAAAACCTACTATCACTTCGAGATGAAATTATGGCCTACGGAGAGCTACATGTTCGATAAAGACCTGTCTATCCTCAATCATGCTAGAGGATTGGTACCGCCTAGAGAGGGGCCACGAGGCGAGATACCGATCTGGGTTGATTTCTTCGGAAGGCTAGACAAGAGACGTTGGGTCACGTACCTTAGCATGGTGACCTTGGCGCTCGCGACCAAGGGTCCTCTGACGGCGCAGAGCACGAGCGTACTTCTGAGGCCGCATGTCGAACCATTCGAGGCCAAGATCATTATGGACTGGGTCGATAGCATGGGCCTCTTGGACCGTTTCGAATCCGAACAGAGTGCGACAGTGAACGAGTGGTGGTGGTTAGTTGCGGGGACATTGGTGATGGACGTGCTCAGAACGGCTGCCCCCCGAACCTGGGGTGGCGCCAGCGTCGCATAATTCTCTGCACCAACATCGATTTACTTTACGGCATGGCATGGCATGGCATAGCATTGAGACGGCACAGAGCATGCATGGCAAGGGCGTTTGCGAGGGAAAAGAGATACCCAACAAGATACTGCTGCAAGGCACCGGTGGATTTGCATTCGAGGATGCATGTCATGTAACATTGCAGAATGAGTTACGGCGATCAATTTACCAGGCCAGTCCTTTGAGATAGTACTGCTAACTCCCGAGCCCCGCGTCATTGATCTAATGAACAGGGCCAGAGCAGAAACCACAGCCCTGGAGTGCGTACCTATTGAATGTAAGTTGGTACCCATGTTGACAATCCACAGATAGGTAGCACTGCCTTGCGCACTGTATTTCCCGCCCTTTCTCCCCGTCATCAAGGTACCCTGATGGCCCGCAGCCTCGCCCACAGCGGGTCAGCCCTGACCCAGCCCAGCCAACAGGAAGTCAAGGCGGGCTGTATCCGATGTTCGCCCGAATCTACTGGACATATAATGCTCGTTAACAGAACACACTTTCACATCAGAACAAATGACAGTTCCTTAGGGCGCCATCGTCTAGCTGGTAGACAATACGATGTGGATCTTGTAGGAGCTTGGGATTTAGGGTCCCGGGCCCGGGAGCCACAGACGTGTAGACGACGGTTCGATTCCGTCTGGCGCCAGATTTCTTTTTTCTGCTCTGTAGTTTCTTTTCTCCTTTGCTTGTTATCGGTTTGCTCTTGATTGTACTGGGTTGAGGCTTGTGGATGTGGGAAATTGTGCTGTTGTGGATAGACGTTTAGTGGTCAGATACCATGTTGTCGGTGTTGGCTCACGATATTGATGTCCTCTTCCGGAATTGAAGTTGACTGTCTACACGTAGTAATTCGTGGACGGGAAATTTCTCATTTCATCCATATTGCTTGCTTTTCCTCTTCTTCTTGCCATGGGTGCCACCCATGTACTCAACAGAGGGCCAACGTCAAAACCAAATATGGACCCTTCCCGCCACAACGTCATGCCCCTCACGATAATCCAGCAGACACACATTTTGGTGTTTCAACAACCCAGCACATCAAAACATAGCAGCACAGTCCCCAAAGCTTCGGGAATTCCGTATTCGTAATTCAATTCTTTGGTATGGTATCAATAGTCGCAGGGCTACTAGTAAACGCCTTTATCCCGCCTTAGTACCCAGTTGCCAGTGCCCTTGATTGTCTTGCTCGTCTTGTTCATCGTGACTTATCGTCACCCTCGTCATCGCCCCACTAGTATCTTCATGACCATGGCGATCAGCACTATTGCCAGCGACACGATCGCGTAGTCGACCCACGCCGGCACCCCCGCATTCGGGTCCACGCGCCTCGTCGCCGTCTGCGTCGCCGCACCTTGCTGCCCTGCCGACCCAGGCCCCTGCGCTCGCCCCGTCGGCGCCGGAACTCCTTGCCCGGGCCGAGCCGCGGGCGGTGCCTGCGACGTGGTCGTCGGCGGCGGCAGGCCCTCCCGCCCAGGCACAGTCTGCACAAAGCCCTCGGCCAGCTCGGCGCTCTCCGCGTCCTCGCCGGCGCCCGCCTCAGCCACAGCCGCAGCCTTATTCGAATCCTTCAAGGCCTTCCTCTCGGCGCGGAACCGCTTCTCCATGTCGTCGCGAAACCCCATCTCCAGCTCGGCGGGGACCTCCTCGTCCTTCTTCCGCCTGCTGTCGTCGTCGGCCTCCTGGGCCCGGGCCTCGGACTCGGCGATGATCTCGCTGTTGGTCCGGTTGCAGGCGCCGCAGCGCCAGGCTTGGCTCTCGACGGCGAGGCCGCGCCGCGCGGCGTCGGTCGCGTCGAGCCCGCCTAGCTGCCCCCGCGCGTCCGTCTCCATGAAGGCGCGCAGCGCTACCAATGCGGTGCGCACCCCCCAGGCAGGCTGCCACGTCTCCTCGTGGTGGCCCGAGATGCTGAGGCAGATCTCGCGGTTCGGCTCGAAGCGGCCGCTGGGCGTCGAGAAGCGGAAGGACGGGGGGCGGAGGGGGTAGGTGGGCGGTAGCATGATGCGGCCGTGGTATAGCCCCCCGGCGTAGCTGGAGTTGGGGGGCCCGCGCAGCGTGAAGTGCCACTCGAAGAGGTCGGATTCTAGGGGCGCTGCGGCGTAGTCGGGGGATGGGCTGGTGGAGAGCTCGGCGGCTTCTTTTACTGTGGTTTGGGGCTTGGTTAGTCTGCTGGTTTATGGGCTGGTGGGTATGGTAGGTGGGTATGTATCTAGGTAGGTGTGAAATTGGGTAGATGGGGAGGACGAAGGATGGGAGAGGGCTTACATATGCGCCTGATTGTGGGCGACTTGGAGTTGAACTTAGGGGTGGCCATCTTGCTTGGATGGCGGTTGGTCGCGGTGTTTTTGAAGTTGGCGGGGTGGTTATTGTTGGATAAGTTGTATGTCCATGAATACAAGTTAAGAGTAGAGTTGTTGTAGAATTCAAAGGATGTAGAGGGAAATGTTAGGCTTTCTAAGAGGGAATTCGTTGAGTCCGAGGATAGGCCAGGTTGTCTTGATGCATGTTGAGATGCGAAATGATGGTTTGATGCGATACGTAAACAGGTTGACAATGTCTTTAGCGATGAAAGGCCACAATACGTAAGCTGAAGCTGTTACGTGATGATGGGTAAAAGTCACGTGCCTCACTTAGTAAAGTCGCCTTGTTGCCTGTGACTCTAGAGTGCTAAGACGCTAAAAACGCCAAAGACAACGACAACACACATTCACTATTACTTCTGCCACTTCACTACCACTACGTAGAAAACAACATGAGAACAATGCTTCTGACCGTATTGCTTGCCTTTCTACTTAACGAGACTGCAGTTTGCCCCTGTGAGAGTCACACGTAGGCCAGGCCTGGTCCTATATCATCCTTCATCGCAACAAAAGCTCTGTCTCTGTCGGTGCGAGGTTTGGTGATTGTGAGTTGATTAGGGTTACAGACTTGCGGAAAATCTACCTCTAGCCTTGGAGTGTCCTTGTCCAACTTCTGCTAAGGTAGAGATGCCTCTCATAGCAAATTCATTCATCCTGATATTGAATGTAAAAACTATTTGACATGTAGAATAGGACAACGGCCATACCCAAATCATCTCTATGTAGCTAGGTATCACTGCAGTTCCCGCTCCTACATACATGTACCTACATAAACTTACATAACTTATAGATGCACCTGCCTACATGTAGAGGGGTGAGTCGTAAGTCGTGAGTCGTGACTATACCTAGTACCTAGTACTACCTTCATCCCATCTGGTTGATCCACCCATCTGATACTGAGATAAACCTAAGCTTACCTATCCACGGAAGGCACTTTGCAGAAGGCTGAAGCTTGTCAATTACGGGGGTGATTATTCCATACCTCTCTCCAGTCTCTCCAGTTCATTTTCCCATTCTCCCTTCTTCTTCACCTCAACTTCTTCCATCATCACTCCCAAGTACACAATCCTCTATGACCTCCATTCGAGGAACAATCTACACTTCCTTGAATGAGTGCTTCATTCCTGCCATCATCTGTCTTATCACTCTACCATCGTTTGTCACTGCTTCTACTATTTCTGCCTAATAAGGTCTCCTACTGGGCCTTCCAAGTAGTTCTCACCTCTTCACATCTGCCAGTAACGCAATCCTCATCTTGTAGACCATGCAACCCGAGAATGCCCCAGTTATGTCATCATCAGCAAAGGATGAAGCAATAAAGACATCAGTAAGGGACGCATCGATAAGGGAATATGGTCCCGATTCGATCCTGTGGCGATGTCTATATTGCAAGGCTGCCTTCTCCGATTCTGGTCACTTGTATTATCACCAAATACGACTTGGCCACATGAAATGCCATCTATGCCCCAAGTCCTTCATCACCTTTGAGGACCTATTAGCCCATAAATCTGAGGTAAGAGTGTTTGCCTATATGATATTTACTCCAAGAGCTCGTTAAACACGGTAACTCATCGCGGTCCCTCGTAGGAGCACCCCGTTGATCAAGATCTGACATGTCCCGGCTGTCGAATCAAATTTCCTGCTGCCTCGGGATGGATCCAGCACATCGAGACTAACAATTGCCGCGCCATCTTCCCCTCAGACTTGGGGAACACTGCCGAGATTATGAAGTCTCTCACGGACAAGATGAATCTAGAATTGGGCTTCTCTGTGCCTCAGGCCTGGGGAGAGACCCCCAATACCTCTACTGCCAAGGACGGCGGGACTGACCAATTGAAAGACGAGGCTGAGGCTCAGGGTTTCGACGTACATCGCAATCCCGAGGCCTTCCCAAGAATTGCAGGACCGGAGTCCCATCAGGGCAATTCGAACCGATCAGGAGGTGCTGCCCATCTCGAGCAGCACTCGGGCAATGCTTGGGCCCAGAAGAAAACCCTGTTCTCGAAGGAGAAGGCATCCGACGCCGTGCGCCCTCCCCCATCCTTAGTTGAGAATTTGAGACAGCTAGAGATCTCGCGCCGACCTGCGGGACCTACGGGACCTACGGGACCTACGGGACAACGCATCCTTGACCCAAGTGACCCGGGCTTCAACGTAGCACTGTTCAAGAACCCTATCTTGGATGTGTATAGTTGCCCACACAAAGGGTGCAAGTAAGTACTGAAATATATAAATCCAATTTGCGAAGTTGGATGACTCAACATTCTTGTAGCTCCAAGTTCAAGGCTAGTAAGGGACTCATCAGTCATCTCAATTCCCCTACGCATGCGCGGCCGAAGTTCAAATGCATGCGGTGCGAAGCCACCTTCAATTGCGCCTCTGCATGGGCTCGACACGCAGAAACCATCCCCCTAGCCAAGTGCCCTATCCGACGGACGCCGCGCTACGGCGACGTGCTGAAGGCAATATCTGCCGGCATCCTAGGTATCGACACCGTTAACGTGCTCCTGAACGATACGTGGAGGGTAACCGTGGATCAAGACTGGCTCACGTCGAGAAACCGTCTTCAATCTCCTAAGCCCAAAATTGTGCCGGGTTCGGCTAAGGATGGAGCCTAGGTAGACTCGAGATGTGGACGATAAGGGCCAACCGACAAGTATTCTGGTCGACATGGGCGGGCTCCAAGCTCATTTTACAATTTCTAATCTGATATACACAACCAGTGTACTGCTCAGCCTTTTATTCAACGTTGCGTTGTTGCTCCACCTATTCCCCTTATAAGGAGGATGGTATTCTCGATTGCTTTTGCATGTACTTCGGAACCGATATAGCATGTCTACAATAGCTTCCCAATAAACTCGGCGTACTCGCCTAGCACTAACGTTTCATGGGATGATAATGCAATGTGATGTCAATGTCAATTGGGTTGGGTCTCGACCTTGAGTATGTTCTCTGCGATGCATGATTCTTGGTATATCTGGACCCTCAAACCAAACCTGCCAAGACTACTATGTATGTATGGACATGGAAAGATCACGGCCTACAAGTTACAACATTCGCTCGACCAATAACATAGTACGATCTCACACCATAATTCACTACGGGACACTTTATCCTCGCATGGGTTGTAAATGAGTTGTCTGTACTTCACTCTAAGCAATTCAGCCGCCCCGGGTCTCTGGAGGGAGAGCTAATTGCCAAAGCAGGTAAGTATCTCACCTGTTATCTGTACGTACTCGCCTCTTTCGCAGGTCCTTACCAAAGCACTCACGACTTTATAAGGGTGTTG